TCTATCTCAAAAGTTTGGTTTAAAAGTGATTCTGCATCAAAAGTTCGGTTTAAAAGTGATTCTGCATCAAAAGTTCGGTTTAGAAATGATTCTATCTCAAAAGTTTGGTTTAAAAGTGATTCTGCATCAAAAGTTTGGTTTAAAAGTGATTCTGCATCAAAAGTTTGGTTTAAAAGTGATTCTGCATCAAAAGTTTGGTTTAAAAGTGATCCTGTCTCAAAAGTTTGGTTTAATAGTGATTCTACCTCAAAAGTTTGGTCTAAAAGTGATTCTACCTCAAACGTTTGGTTTAAAAGTGATTCTGCCTCAAAAGTTTGGTTTAATAGTGATTCTGCCTCAAAAGTTTCGTTTAAAATTGATTCTTCCTCGAAAGTTTTGTTTAAAAGTGATCCTGTCTCAAAAGTTTGGTTTAAAAGTGATTCTGCATCAAAAGTTCGGTTTAAAAGTGATTCTGCCTCAAAAGTTTGGTTTAGAAATGATTCTATCTCAAAAGTTTTGTTTAAAAGTGATTCTGCCTCAAAAGTTTGGTTTAATAGTGATTCTGCCTCAAAAGTTTCGTTTAAAATTGATTCTTCCTCGAAAGTTTTGTTTTAAAGTGATTCTGTTTCAAAAGTTTGGTTTAAAAGTGATTCTACCTCAAAAGTTCAGTTTAAAAGTGATTCTACCTCAAAAGTCTGGTTTAAAAGTGATCCTGTCTCAAAAGTTTGGTTAAAAAATGATTCTGCCTCAAAAGTTTGGTTTAATAAGGATTCTACCTCAAAAGTTTGGTCTAAAAGTGATTCTACCTCAAACGTTTGGTTTAAAAGTGATTCTGCCTCAAAAGTTTGGTTTAATAGTGATTCTGCCTCAAAAGTTTCGTTTAAAATTGATTCTTCCTCGAAAGTTTTGTTTAAAAGTGATTCTGCCTCAAAAGTTTGGTCTAAAAGTGATTCTACCTCAAAAGTCTGGTTTAAAAGTGATCCTGTCTCAAAAGTTTGGTTTAAAAGTGATTCTGCATCAAAAGTTCGGTTTAAAAGTGATTCTGCCTCAAAAGTTTGGTTTAGAAATGATTCTATCTCAAAAGTTTGGTTTAAAAGTGATTCTGCATCAAAAGTTTGGTTTAAAAGTGATTCTGCATCAAAAGTTTGGTTTAAAAGTGATTCTGCATCAAAAGTTTGGTTTAGAAATGATTCTATCTCAAAAGTTTGGTTTAAAAGTGATTCTGCATCAAAAGTTTGGTTTAAAAGTGATTCTGCCTCAAAAGTTTCGTTTAAAATTGATTCTTCCTCGAAAGTTTTGTTTAAAAGTGATTCTGCATCAAAAGTTTGGTTTAAAAGTGATTCTGCATCAAAAGTTTGGTTTAAAAGTGATTCTACCTCAAAAGTTTGTTTTAAAAGTGATTCTACCTCAAAAGTTTGGTTTAAAAGTGATTCTCACTCAAAAGTTTGGATTTAAAAGTATTCTGTTTAAGCTTTTTCAAGTGAACATGTTTAATATCCATTTCAACCGATTTTACTCCGTTAACAAGGATCCAACTTACTTTGCTTGTATTAGTTTTTTACACACACTTATCATGCAAACATTGTTACAATATAAAGTTAAATTAATCAAGATTATTAATTATGTTAATAACTTTAAACCGGTAATGTTGTGCAGTACAGGAAAACATTCGAAAACAAAGCTTCTCAAACTTCTATATTTTTCAAACTTTTTTATGACCAAAAAATACATAATATCAGAAACCAAATATCCGGAAAAAGTAGATTGTAATTAAATGAAAAAGGATACGGAATGATTATCCGGAATTAACATGGTAAGGGAAATAACTATTAAGGTACAATTAAACAATTAAAAGTATTTTAATATATAGTTAGCAAATTAATCATCTCATATAGTTTGTATATAGCAATAAAATATAAATGTAATGAATCCTCAATATGGTACACGATAGGGAATCAACTATTTAACATCCTTTCCATTAGCCAGACACTGGCGTGGAGCATTCTCCTACGCTGCCTTCGATTCTGATACTGCAACACTTCAGAATTACTAAGAAAAGAAATCTGCATTATTTTTTGTAGAAAATCGCATCCTATTCGAACATTTTGGAATTACTACATATACTTTAAGTAAGGATCCACGAAACTCTTATATGCATGCCAATTAATAATCCTTCGCGCAACTCGTTTGTGGGGTTATTAAACTCAACTTCGAGTGTCCGTACGTCCGTTCGAAGTTTTTTTCCTGGCTGTGACCAGCAAGCAACGTTGGATACTTATCGAGTTAGTGCCCTTCTTGTGCCTTTAACTACTGTCGAGATGCCGGTTTTTTTTTTTTTTTTTTTTGTTTTTGTTTTGTTGCTATGGAAACGGCACAGAAAATCTACATGAAAATATTAGCTCTTACTTTCAAGTTGACAAATGTATGTCTATTTGGTTGTTCATATTAACAGCAGGGCGTGAGGGATAATGCAACGATTATTGCTTCGGTGAGCTGGATTCTACTATGGTTGAGTATTTCAGGGTAAACCTTTTTTTTACTTGCTCTGCAATCGAGGTTTATTATCATGAAGGTAACACTGGACAGAAGGGAGCCACGGGTAACAATGTGCTCGTAAAACCCAAGGGTGCCACTGGACAAACAGGACCGAAAGGTGATACTGGAGTGATGGGACCTACAGGTAACACAGTGAAGTATTGTTTAGATATTTAAATTTATTATGTTTAAATTTGTTTAATTATTTTTTTTCTCTGTTGTATCTAACTCGTAAGTATATAAATGTGCTTCTCACTTCTGTGTTTATTCTGATCCTCAATATCCTTTTAGTCTCCGGGGTTTGCCGTAACCTGCATGCTACATTTTAATTCAGCGAATAGTGAGACACATATACATGTACTTGACGTTCTTTTTACACCATCTATCATCCTTTGACTTAAACTTTTAAATAAGACTTTGTTTCGGGTAAAGATTAAGTCAAAAAGTTAAAAAGTACGGTAAAAACAATGAGGTATAATAACCAGGCCCCACTTGTATAAAACATCTCAACTTGAGATTTCCTCAAGTCGAGATTTTCCTCAGCTGATATCTCCTCAAAAACGGCTGGTATAAAATTTTCTCAAGGAACAGGAGGAAGGCATCGGCTAGGATGTCCTGAAATTCCTTGAGGAATTTTCATACAAGATATTTTGAAGGAGATATCAGCTGAGGAAAATCTCGACTTGAGGAAATCGCAAGTTGAGATGTTTTATACAAGTGGGGCCTGGTCTACAATAAGGCGGGGAAGTATGTGTCTGGTTAGTGGTACCAGTTAGATATCGACAACAGTAGAATGAAAGTATTTAATGATAAATTAAATAATTAATATGAACAACACAACCTTGTATTTTCCAAATCGAAAATTCATAGAGAAACCTCATTCAAAATATTCAAATTTAAAGTTCAAGGAAATTCGAAATCAGAGAAATTTCTTGGACATCTAAGCTTCTAAATGGAAAATCTTATTTCAGATGCGCAACCCAGAATTGATTTTCACGTCAAACTACATCAAGACATAAGATCGTTCTCCGACAATGAAATTATAATCATGAATGGCGGTATGGTTCAGTTTGGGACTGGATATGACAAGCATACAGGAGTATTTACCTGTCCTCACCATGGAGTTTATATTTTCTCCATCACAGCCCTAGTTCACGATGGCACGCTCGAACTTTTGCTCTCTCGGAACGGTGACCACATCCTCTACATCTACAGCGGATCTCACGAAGGTTATGTGTCCGGGTCGGACATGGTTTTGGTAGAACTGTATGAACATGACAAGGTTTGGGTTCAAGTTCATGATACTTATCACGGTCCGGATTCAAAACTTGTTGATGGTTTCACTTCATTTACCGGATTTCTCTTATATCTACTATGACGAATTATGATTAAAATATATTAAAATATTTAAACATATTAAAATATTAAAATATATTAAAATATTAAAATATTTGGAGATGGCTTAATATAAGATTTATAATCTTGTTGCCAGATCCATTTTCAATTTTATAATTTGTGTATGTGTATGTTGTAAATGAAAATATGAAAATAAAATATTGTTTAAACCAAAATATTAAAAGAACCCGAAACTGATCGAATTTCTGGTGGACAATATCTTGGTTGAGTTCATCAATCTGATCAGTCACAACATTTAGCTGGAAACTACGGAGTGATGAAACTCAATATGTATGATAAATTATTTACCACGTCTTCATCAGAAAAAGCAAATTGTTAAAGTCCAATGGGCCTTAACGATCATCTGACTACAAAAACTTACAGTAGCGAAAACAAATCTTACTAAGAAGCTGTTTTCAATGATGCAAATGATAGTTTTGGTGAGACGTAGGTAACTGTAACAAGTGTTACCTATTTTTTGACAGTAAAATTGGAGCTCAATCCAACTGGTGAAACTTGGGAAGTTTGAAATAGTTGTTGCAAAGGAAAATCATGATTGCACAATTATGTTACAAAATGTCAAAATTTTGACAAGGTCGAAAAATAACAACACTTTGTTGGCTACCGTTCCTTAACATTCCCACCAATGTTTAGCTCAATGGCACCAGAGGCACTGGAGAGGAAGTGTAAAATATGTTTTTCAAGATGGCGGCCATCTTGGAATTCAGACAAACCGAAAAAATAACAACATTTGGTCAGGACCATCTCAGGATCATTTAATGCCAGTTTGATCTCAATCCCATTGGTGGAACTTGAAAAGAAGTTTTAAACGTCAAAAATTTTTAAATAAAGTTAAAGCTACTAACTGACGGTCAGCGATCGGCTGACGGACTTCGGAAACGACCCATTGTTAAGTGAAAAATGGTTGAACTGCACAAGTATATTGAAGTGAAGGAGTTTATATCGCATAAATTCCTTCTTAATATCATTAACCTTTAGCTCTCTTTAAATAATATACGAGGCAGTTTTAGAAATAGATTGTTGGCGCTATACGAATCGCGGGATAAATTCAAAATAGAATAAACAAAATCACGATTTTTTCCCCAATTTTATTACAATAAACATCCAAAAATAAGCTTGACTAACACATTGCCTCACGAAACAGATATTTCACAAAACAACACACAATCAAATATGATAATAGTTAATCTATCTTGGAACAGTGGACTTCAATTAATCATGGGCCTAATTGTCAGATCAACTTTGAATGTGAACGTTAGGTTCGTTTGGGAAACGATTATGAAGTAATGTGAATCATTCTTATATAATTGATAGTGTACTGAAAGATATTTAACAATCTTAAAACTCCATATATTACTATTACAGAGACAAAGAAAAACTAGGAGTATACCTACAAATCGGCAAATTTATCTTGGTATGTAACCCAATTATTTAATATGGATCTATATTAGTGATGAAAAACATTTATAAAAATTCTAGGTATGCCAAACCGTTTAGTGAGTTTATTTAATGAAATCTGGCATAATGTATTTCGCTATATCTATATACTAAAAGTATGAGAATTATAACAATACTTTGTAAAATGGAATATTGATGAGTTTGTAAGTATGTTTAAGAAAAATATAAAGATGTTGATAAAATGACTGTATATTCTTATATAAATATCTGTTGTAAGTTACAGTTAATACCTACAACGAAACCCATTTTAAAGAAGGGATTTCTTAAATTCTATTTATGAAATTTTCTACTGCAGAAAACACCAGAGACATCAGAAAGGGCATATAAGAGAGCACTCCTGGCGATTTAAAGTAATACCCAATCAATATGCACAATAAGCACAGTAAGACAACCATACCCAGATTGTACAAATTTTAAAATCGAACAAAAGATTAGGTGTCATTTTGGACAAAAAGTCACTTATAAAATTAAAGTTGATAATATGATGGTAAAATATAAAGAGAGTTCGGCCATATTTTAAATTCAAAATCTGAGTAAAACGTAAGTTTAAGCTAACAACGCTTATAAAAACCGGATCCTAAAATCCATAGAAAAGCAACATGTAAACACCAATATCTGACGCATTGTTAGCTTAATTCATTCAAATATGATTTAAATACTTTTGAAAAAAAGTTAGATAAACATTCAACCTTTTCAATACACATCCTTTCAAGTTATTATCCTGTCCTTGAAGTTTTAACCAATTATGCTTTGATATCTAATACACCATTATCAAATTATACTGAAGTCAGAAGTAGGCAAGGACATAACACAATTCTACAAAGCCTCATTATGTACAGAGAATGTGTAAATATATATACGTATATATGATACATTGTGAAAGGAAATCATTAATATATATTATTATAATAATAATTAAAATGAAATGTATACATGATCATCAAATTCAAACGACAGACATTTTCTTTGCGATCAACACACAAAGCCAATAGCTTAATATTACATCCAACTGTACGTTGCTATTTGGCTGGACAAACAACTATCTAAGAGTATTGACTGCCTGAAACACCATGGAATAGTTGTACAAGCCAATATTAATTTATTCTATATGATAATCTTATCAACAATTAGAATAAGGAGAAGGTGATGTCCACTTCATATCCCCTTGAACTAAGTACAATCTCTAAATGTGGGTTAGTGAAAGTTGATTCTTGTAAAAAATATACTGTAACTTAAAAATTCCATAACTGATTAAGTGGTTTACTCTTAAAGTTTGATAAACATCCTGTATAGTTCAGTTTCTGTGAATATCCAAAATGCATTCAATCATACCTGTTAAATGAGTCAGCACATCTTGTGTATCGCTGAAACGAGTAATCACTTCATGTGTACTTTACATATGTGAAATCAGTTTTTGTGTATTTCACAATTTTATCATTGAATCATGACTAATTATGATTTATCACTGGTTGATAAAACAACGAAGGTCTCTAATATTGGAGATATTTAGCAGAGTGATTCATCAAAAAGGACATATGATTATCACACCAAGGGAGCATATATGTGATGAAAACAAAAATTTATATTAGGAATAATTTTTACTGCTAGATTTAGTATATGACATTATATGATAAAGTGTGGTAAAACTATGTTGATCGCAAAGCCATAAAACTACCGTATTTGTGGCGATTACGGCTAAACAGAGAACAAGACTTGTAAACAAAAATCACGTATACATTCATAAATTATTCCAAGATTGTTTTTTTAAAAGGTATTGAGTATAACCTAATATTAAATATAAGGAGTCGTTTTTCTAGTACCTGGTGTAAATGAGCAGGCTTTTACAAGTTACAATCACATGTTGGCACAGAAAGCGACTGCAAGTCAAACTGTACAAAATCAACAAAGACATGGATATGGAGCCAATCATAAAGTACCAATGAACTTGCTGGAGTTTCTTTTCTCATTGGGAACTGATTCAGTCAATTTTCCAGGACTTGCACTGTTTCGAGGTGGTCAGGCACCTGTTTGGGACTCGGTTATTATCTTATATAACTATTCTAAGGATTTTTCAAGAACATTCACCATTTAAGAAAGTTGAGATCATGACTTTCGTTTGTAATAATAAAATGTTTAGGAGAATGTTGTAAATGGTCTGTTCTGGTAAATAACTAAATATCTAATGACAGACCATCATTACAAAAAATATTCATAGTATCTAACAGATGAAACTTTTCAAAATTTAAAGTGTACTTTAAAAATTATTTTCCCTGCACATGGCCATAAGAAGTAATTAAACAATAATCGTGTGTAACCGTGTCACCAGAAACAGGAAGTGGATATCATTAAGACTGGTCCTCACCATAATTGCTCCATCCCATACCGATGTTTCGTATATAAGATAACTATGTAGTACCTAAGCATGAATACTATACAAGTATATGGCACTCAAACGAATATAAAATTTATTGATGAATGAATAATTTATTCTCCGACGATTAGCGATGAATACAGAACAAAATATAATGTCCAATATGGATACATGAGCATGACGTCATTGAATCAAGAGCACAGCTGTGACATCACTGAATTGTGCGCATGAACATGACGTCATGTTACGGAAACTCCAACTATCTATGCTCCCTACCAATGGAATGCACATATTAGCGATCACCTGTATGGCTTTTTTATGATTCATAAAGGTAATATATGATGGCACAGCATACATTTGTTTGAAAATGCGTCATATCCTTCAACAGTGTAATGTTACTAGATGCTGTTTCCACAATCTACAATTGCATCAAGGATGTTTCCTGTTTACACTGATTTGTGTCACCTAAAAATAATACTTCATGGTTAAGATGCATCGTGATTATAATTGAGCATCAGCCCCGTCTGTTCCTATAACTACAGTATTAATTAGTTATAAGTAGTGACATCTTTTCCACTACAGCTAAACCGGTTACCTTATGTTAGATGTATTCTTCCTTCTATCTATAACACAATTAAAAAAAATTCGGGAACTCTTCAATAAAGCTAGAAAATAGAAGAAATTACACAGATCAAGAAATAATTATTATTTAATTTTACACAAAATTAATCACTATGGCAACATGAGAATATGTATGTTTGTCCTTGTATGTATTTCTACTGAGAGGGATATTTTTATACTGATCATGTTGTTTGTTACTTATGGGAATGGAATGGGGCGCCATACAAGTGTAGACATTTAAGGTGTCAAGGGAGGTCACTCAGGCATACAGTTTACAGGAGAGCTCAATCATATTTACACATACTTTGGATGTCACGTGATCAATCCACTATATATTGAAAGTATTTGACAGTTTTACTCAATCGATCGTCTGTTTAAGCTGTTGTATGACTTGAATTAAAGCTTGACATCACAAAAGCACAGGAGATCATAACAACAATCATTCTGACGCAAATGCGTAGTTATGATGTCAGACAAGCAAGACGTTGCAAGTAATCTGAGGTATAACGGAAAATGCTTCAATCAAAATTATGAAATAACGATGATAAATCAGTTTCTATTAAATTTGGAACAGGTTTTTTGGTATTCGACTTTTTTGTTAACAACTATAGATAAAATAAAGAAAAATATTTCTGAACTATCGTCTTTGACATATGACTGCCTCAACAAATAACTCTTAGATTCAAAACTTAACTTTTACTGTACAGAGTAACAAAATCAACACAACCCGCATAAGTTATTACCTATGATAATGAATATCAGGGGTCAAAAGTTAACGACAATGGAGGGCAAAGGGTAGAGGTCAAACAATAATCGATGATTTAATTCATGAACTCTATTTAAAAATGTTTTTAAATGTTAATTTTTGGAAATATATTTCCATGTTTATATAATTTCAATTAGTTTCCGTATTTTCTTTTCAATTTTAATGCAATGCTTTTTCTGCATGCTGTATAAGTTTATAGTACTGAGGGATTTTATTCTAATGAATATTCATGAATATAAACAGATCTCACTACATTGAGATCTGAGCGAGAACACGTACATTACAGTGCACATTCATGTAAAACATCTTTATATAGAACGACTTAGCAGAACTGTCATTTTCAATAAACCACGTGACTACAGAAACAAGAGCTCTGACGTATATCCGGTGTTCGACAACATACCACAATAGCTACATATCATTTGCATAATAAAAAGATTACATTTTTCTTTGCTGGTATTTCTGGTCCCGAGTAATGTATGTACAATTGATCAGGGCACATTTGATTGGTTGATGCGGGTCAGCTAATGAATGCTGCAGCTCCAATTGTCCTGTTGTACAGTTGAGCACACGTAATGATCGAAGTATCCCTGCGTCAACAAATCAAGTACGCCTTTTAATCTGCTGGAGTCACTTATAGCCCTGGTCCCTGAGAGACCTGGGTGTAACTAGAAATATAATATAAGGCGAGGAACAAACAGACAATCGTACAAATAAATACATAATCAAATGGAGCTGAGACAAACTCTTAAGTCTGGCATTCACAACTGAAGATTTTCCTGAGTATTTATATGATTTAATTATAATTGCACTGAGTATATTAAAAATTATCTGTGGGGCCTATTTTAGTCAAAAAATGTTTATTCTTATCTATCCAATTATGAAATCCAAGGTTTTATATAAAAAAAGGTTTACTTTTGTTTTAAATACAAAATATTGGTGTTGTGGTAGTTTTGCCAGAATTGACCTTTCGTCTCAGCTCCCAACTCTTGCATCCTTTCACACAAGCAATACAGGGACACAAGTGTGCCCTTTTAGGGCAACAGGGATTAGTTTCAACTAGCCAAGGCGATGGTTCAAATAGGTCCTCAAAAAGTCATGTTTACTAATCCCTTCCCGTACACTCTGGGGTTGTTGTACAATCCAGAAGTATGTATGGAATGAATTAAAGCCGTCAATCAAATGTCTATTTGACCAATGATCATCTCTAGATTGAAGAAATATCACGTTGTATGCTCCGCCCACACACAGCAGTTATTCTGTCCGTCACGCCCACCCCAAACTTTATATACCCTGCTCGTTCCATATTGATCAGCACTGACGTCACTAGGCACTGGGTTCGGTTGCCACAGGCAACTCTGCCGGGCCGTCAGATGCAGGGGGTGTGGTCGCAACCTGTGGAGGTGGGACAGGGTCTGCTGTCACTTCTGGTGTCGGGGCAGGATCATCCTTAGCCTCCTCGCCCTCTGCCACCTTTAAATATCAAAAATCATATTAATTTTAAGAACAAATAACAGAGGTTACAACACATTAGCCTAAACTGCTATATAACAGAGAAGTGATAGAGTAGCTTTCACAGCAGAAGAGGACTGAATGCAATATTTCTTTAACCCATTGACAGGTTTGCTTACATTCTAACAACATCCTGGACCATATGATGACAGGCATCATAAGGAATATTAAAATGGAAAGCAAAGCAGAGAAAAAAGAAAGAGCGATAGAGTGAAGCAAACACAGTTGTGATTGGAACAGGAAATGTATTTTGATCTCCTCAATGTCCTCTTGTAGAGGACACAACAGCTTCCCCTCCCCACCATCCCCTAAAACATCCCTGATTCTGCATTGGCCCAGTTTTAATCGCATCCTACTATCATTCAGTGGAACAAGCAGATCATATTCCTTCAGTGAAGGGTTCATTAAAGAGGGATCATTACGTATGTATATTTAAAAAAAAAAATAATAAAAAACATGAAATTTGAATCTCTTGAACATCAATAATTTCATAGTAAATATAATAAAGACATTGACTCCATCCTTGAATACCGTTAAATGACCATTTATAAGTAGAAATATCAACATGAACAATAATTAATAGAGAGCTTAAGTTCTACTTGGAAATATGACATCTCAGAAGAGATTTACTGTCTGTAATTAGGTATAATGCATTATCGAGGCTGTTAGACATAGAAGTCACAGCTGTCACAATAGTTTGGTGTTTCTAGACTACAAAATGTATCATTTCTCACCGGTTTGGTGTCCGCTGCGTCTGGTTGTTTGTCTTCTGGTTCCATCTCCTCTGCCTCCTTAGCAGCTCTGATAATGAGACCCAAATAACAAGTAATGACACATAAATAATATTTGTATTTAAACAATCATAATTCAATACCATTTTAGGATTTAACATGTCCTCTATTATGATTTCAAATGCTGTTTATTTCCAAAAAGATATTTGCTTTCAAACATTTGTTACAAATCCAAGCGTCATGCATTCAGACATTAATACGGGGTTGAACTTTGAATTTGAAAGAGATACAAATGAAGTTGGATTAGAATACTATTTTAGTGCTTTAAGGATATCTACATGTCAATATTTTCAGGTTCATGTCTTCACTGAAATTTAATGAAAATTTCTTCCCACCAAAGATTTTACTTTAACTGTACTTTTAACTGTTCCTGTATCAATATTTTTGTGAATGTACCTAATATTTCTATGCTGGAATGAAAAATGTTGCAATTAAAATAGAAACATTGATCTTTTATTTAAACGATAATCTCACATTTCATTCTCTTCTTCCACTTCGTCCTTTGCCCCGCCCTCAGAGTCAAGCAGTGGCACCTTCTTCTCACTGCACAGAAAACAAACACCATATAACTCAGCAATTATTTCCTTGTATGTGACTGCAAAAATTTCCCTCATCATACATCGTAAAATAAACAAGTACAAAAGTTAACAATGTAAACATATTTCAACTATCAATACATTAAATCAAGTGTAAGCTTTGTATGTTGAAAAGTACTGTTTAATACAGCGCTGCCCTAAGACCTTGATGAGGCAGACCAATTTCTCTATAAGTGGCTTTTACACTGCCGGATTAAACATTTATACTAGAATAAAAATTCATGGCATGAAGTTTTCTAGACGAGGCCTTCAGCCATCAAGGAAATGGTCTTCAAAGAGGCACTGGGCCAGCAAAGTTAACATCTGTGCTTTTATCAAATGTCCATTCACTGCACACATTTTTAATGAAGATGCCTTTGACAAGCCAGGATAAATTTTGTCCGAGAAGCAAACTTTTGACCACTCATTGCAGACTTTTATCTAGATGAGACTATGACAACCCAGGATAAAAATACGTCCTAGTTAAGAAAAACTTTTAACGAGACGAGATGTTGGCCAACCACAATAAGGTGATGCCTTGTCAAATTTCTGACCTGTTAAGCTGAACTTCTGTCCAATTTGTACATTATGTATCTTTGTCAATTAATATATACCACGTATATTACTGTAAATTTCATGACATTCATTTTCTCCATTTCCTAAGATAAGACCATACCAGAATACATGCCAACAATTATGGTTCTAATTAATGTACTTAAAGTAACAATGTAAGAATACGACATGAATAACTGCTGTGACAAGCCATTCTCCAATAAAACTCAACTTGAATAGGCAGGACTGCACCATATACTGAATGTAACTACTACCTTCAGAAAACCCCAAACAACACAGGTCTGACGTTATTTACAACATAACTACTACCTTCAGAATACCGCAAACAGCACAGGTCTGACGTTATTTACAACATCACTACTACCTTCAGAATACCGCAAACAACACAGGTCTGATGTTATTTACAACATAACTACTACCTTCAGAATACCCCAAACAACACAGGTCTGAAGTTATCTACAACATAACTACTACCTCCAGAATACCCCAAACAACACAGGTCTGACGTTATTTACAACATAACAACTACCTTCAGAATACCCCAAACAACACAGGTCTGACGTTATTTACAACATAACAACTACCTTCAGAATACCCCAAACAACACAGGTCTGACGTTATTTACAACACAACTTCTACCTTCAGAATACCACAAACAACACAGGTCTGGCGTTATTTACAACATAACTACTACCTTCAGAATTCCCCAAACAACACAGGTCTGATGTTATTTACAACATCACTACTACCTTCAGAACACCCCAAAACAACACAGGTCTGACGTTATTTACAACATAACTTCTACCTTCAGAATACCCCAAACAACACAGGTCTGATATTACTTACAACATAACTACTACCTTCAGAATACCGCAAACAACACAGGTCTGATGTTATTTACAACATAACTTCTACCTTCCGAATACCCCAAACAACACAGGTCTGACGTTATTTACAACATAACTACTACCTTCCGAATACCCCAAACAGCACAGGTCTGACATTATTTACAACATCAATACCCCAAACAACACAGGTCTGATGTTATTTACAACATAACTACTACCTTCCGAATACCCCAAACAGCACAGGTCTGACATTATTTACAACATCACTACTACCTTCAGAATACCCCAAACAACACAGGTCTGATGTTATTTACAACATAACTACTACCTTCAGAATACCTCAAACAACACAAGCCTGAATTCATCAACACCATTTAACTATTATCTTTGAAATAAACAACACAACAATAAACATCTCTAAAACAACACAGGTCTGAATTCATTTACAACATACCTATTATTTTCAGAATCTCTCAAAATAAGGCAGGTCTGAAATCATTTCCAGCATATAACTAAATATCTTCAGAAACCCGTAAAAATTCATCACAATAAGTTCATAGTTCTTGGATTCTGCACGACTGATTTTTGGTCAATTGACAGAATCACTATTGGATTGGACAGACACTAGTCTCAATAGATAAGATCTGAGATGCATGGTACAGGTGTTAATATGACAGTAAGTAGTATTTCAAAAGGAAGAGCAATTTCTTTAGTGTTACATCATAGTACAGGACCGAAAATGAAAAGAAATATTTGAAGAGTTATACATGCTCAAATATTATATTATATCCTCAAGGGATAAAGAAATGCAGGGTGACATTATCTGCAATATCTTGCGAACACATTGTTCAAAAACAATGAAAATTGGTCAAGCAACTCTCTAGGGTCTTGTTTACTGATGAGTCCTGGGTCACTCTGTTTCAAGCAGGCGGTTGACATCGTGGAGAACGTTTTGCCAGTTACTGAGTAGTAGAGACATATAGGTTTGAAGGTGGAAAGGTTATGGTGTGTGATGGAATCTCCTATGGAGTTAAATCACTACTAGTTGTGGTGGCAGGTAATTTAACTGCCACTAGGAATAGAGATGAGATCCTCCCACCCTATGTTGTCCCATTATTGCAACAAAACAACCTCACATTCCAGCAGGATAATGCTTGGCACCATGTAGTGAGGATCTGTCGCAACTTTCTCACTAACAACAATATCCACCCACTGGGCTGACCGTCATACAGCCCCGACCTATCCCCTATTGAGCACTTGTGGGACCAGCTGGATAGACAAGTTCGAAAAGGCCAGCTGCTACTGTACTCTGGCACAATTAAGAGCAGTCCTCTTGGAAGAATGGACCAACATCCCAATGAGGAGGATAAACTCACTCATGAACTAAATGCCATGGTGAATCAGGGATGTGCAGATATTAAATAGCCAGCTCCAAAATCCAGTCCATTACGATTTCCGATTACTTACCAGATACAAATTGTTGATTTTACAGTTTGTTCTGTATGAATTAATCGTCATTCTTACTAAACAAATATTGAACATTATACTCGTTATCTTGCCTAGAATCATCTTTACCCTGTGTTTCTTTATCCCTTGAGTATATTATATTATATTATATATTTGTTCTTCCTTGTAGAATACTTTCTATGATGTATTATTTATATATAATTCACACTACAACTAGATAGGACACAATGTCGCCTGTCTTAAGAATTACTGAACTTCTACAGAATTTCTATATAATATGATCATTTGGGCAAGCTATGTATCAATATGTGTGATATTTACAACTGAAATATCAACTTATATGTATATTTTTATTTCTAACTTCATTATAGGGTCGCGTCAAGATGATGGAAAGTGGTAATTATTTTTTCATTATTTCCATTGTTTTACTGGTACACATAAATCTCTCTATATAAGCATACTAGATATCATGTGTTTCCATAATCTTGCACATTCATAATCTTCGACAGTTTTTTGACATATACCTGTAGATTTGATCCACACATATTATTTCTCAAAGGACATCAACAGCAAAATCAATCATTTCCTCTGCTCATGAGCAATACCAAATCATTATGGAAAAAGGCTATGAAAAGAAGTGGAATAAAATCCACCACTTTCCCTGAATTTTAGGTAATTTTAAAAAACAAAATCTCTGTACAATAGACATCATCATTTGTTGTAGCCATTCAGACAGAAATGTGGTTTTACTTAAAATTATGGGATGCTTTGCTAGATTGTGAGACCAGGGACAAACCTGATACAGGATCTAAGGCATATATATAGATTCTGGCCATATTTCAGTTCAGTTATATCTGATATAACAAGTTGGTTAAGAAGGAAGTCTGAAGTGTCAATGGAAATAATTTAACTGCTAAGGATGTTAAAAGCAAATGAATATATTCGTGTTGGCAAAACCTATTATACGTTCGCAGCGAGAAGTGGGGTATCGGCAGCGAGAAGTGGGGTATCGACAGCGAAACCTTCAGGTAAAGACTAACACAAATATCAATATTCTGATTGAGACTGACTGAGCACCAAGAGCACATTCCAGAAGGAATGACATTGACAGAATTTGTGAATGTGGCTTCAGGTTGATTTTTAAAGATCCCATAACAATTCCTACAGACTTACAATAAGAATGAGTGGCCATTAGCAAGGGTATAGCTATTCGTAATTTGCAAAAAAAATAAGCATAAACTGAACGAATGCAAATCAATGAAAAGGGGTCGTAACCTTATCTATATCACATGTATCACAGCTGAATCTTGATTTTGTATTAGCCATAAATCATATTCAACCATGACTGTGATGAATAATACTGTAATACATCAAAGCTAAATGTCACAGGTCTGTTCATATTTTATTCCCTCCAAGTTAAAGCTCCAGATTAATGTAGATGTTAGTTTCTATAGTTCAAATTTCCATGGCTAAACCAAATATTTAACGTGAAAAAGTTGTAATTATCAATGAACCACGAATAATATCTGTATAAAGACATGATGAAAAATAATACTTATAGGAATTCTAAATTCCTATGCCATTCATATGTGGCTCACCTAAAATAAACACGCGCATGGTAACTTCATGCTTGACTTTAGCTTATGCTTTTTCAGTGTTATGTAAATAATATGTCTCGAGGAGAAAAATACGAAAGTATCCACATGTACTGATATTCCTGTACAAATATTGATATATCTGTACAATAGTATCCACATGTATTGGTATATCTGTACGATAGTATCCACATGTATTGATATATCTGTACAATAGTATCCACATGTATTGATATTCCTGTACAAATATTGATATCCCTGTACAAAAGTATCCACATGTATTGATTTCCCTAATAGCAAAAGAGTCAAAAAATAAAAAAAAATGTCAGTGTTTATGACAGGCAGGATATGCACATGCCAGTGAAGAATTAGCATGCGAAGTCAAAGGTCAATCTTACTCCTCCACAAGATGGCCGTCTTTGTTCTGTACACCTCCTATTGGCAGAGTACCCTTCTCGCTACATCAACAGAAACAACGTGACAGCTGATTCATCAGAAACAACCACAAATTTGATGGGGGTAAATCAACAACGTATCTGATTATGTAAGCATGTGTTTCTGCTAGAAGACGGTAACCATGAGTAGAAAACAAAATGTCACAATCATAGAACCTGCTGTTACTACGAGTAAGCATGATCAGTATGAATCGATTGAAGGAATAGAGATAGATGATAATTAATGCAAAGAGTTTTAAAGTCAATCCAATGATTGACAAAGATCATCAATACCGAAATGAAATTAGCAGAAGGATGGAAAAAGTGAGTGTAGTTAACAGATGGCAACAGATTCAAAGATGAAAAGTCAGCTTTAAACTTTTTTTGAACTTGTTCATGGATTCTAGATGGATTAATGCATCAAAGATATTCTGGAATTTTTATTTCAACAAATATCTTTAGTAGGAATGTAAAGAAACTATATCCTATCCAAGGGAGATAACTTTGAGTTTGTAGCAAATGATAAATAATCTGGGGGGTCACGATGGATCATGGACAGCACAACCGCTCTAAATGTAGGTTTTTTAATGTTGTTCAAATAAACAAATCAATGATTTATTTGCGGATAAATATCTCACCTTTCTCCTGATTCCATGATAGGTTCCTTACTGCGTGTGTCTGCTGAACCCGCGTGACCTACACGCTCCTTCAGGCACATGATGACACCACATTTGTTGCGGAAGTAGCATGTCACGTCAACAATAACGAAGAGGACGATGAAGACAACTACCACAATGAGGATGATTATTCCGATAGGAAGTCCGATGTCTTCTACAGAGAAAAATGGTACAAGTCAGGGGAGGTAATTCTTGACATTTTTCACTATATAAAATGTAAGTTGTGAGAAACAAATATATACTTTTTCACGTGAGGATCACAAAAATAATAAAAACATTCATATGTAAATCATTTTTTATGAAATCACAAGGCAATAAAATGCAACACCTATTAATTATGTTTTACATATTACTAGACAACAAATATCCTGAATGCAGTTATCTTTAATCAATATCCTGTTATAGAAAGACATGAAGATTGGAAATCTCAAAAATTGAGGTGAAGTTATAAAATCATTGCATTGTGTAAATATTTTAACTGTTTTACACTATAAAGTGAAACTTCTGTTTGTAATATATCTAAACAATACAACATCTTCAATATCGCGAAAAAAATTCATGATATACATGTACCCATCTCAAGAATTGAAGATGATTATACAGTATTATGTGAACGACATTCAGGTTTATTCGTGTCTGTTCTGTGAAGGTGGGATATAAATAATGTATATATCATCAGAAAAAATCACAAGATATATTGGTGTGAATTTTTACAAATATTAACAAACCATAGAATACCAACGTTTACCTACAAACATAAACACATCACTGTGGAATACAAAACAATAATTATTCTTTCATATTTTTGCAGGAGTATCTATGTAACATTTAACATTTAATGAGTCAAATTAAATACAACTTGAACTTGTAAATTTTATGTCAATTTGAAAAAAGTGTCTTTTGTACTTAATTGAAACAAGCAAAATTTTTGGAACCTTATAAGTAGAGAAAAAATTGTACAATTATTACTTAATCAAATGTGCATGATACTATATCATTGTGGAACAAACATAAAATCAAAACAGAAATATTCCTGCAGGATTCATATGAATATACCAATAACGAGAGGGAATTTTGTGAACACTTATTTTATGTTTGCATTGTGCAAAATATAATGTGTAATAGTTAATATTTATTTATATAACACTAAACCAAAACAAATATATAGAAATATATCACAATTTGACTGTTTTATTAGTATGTATTGAGGTAGTTTAAACATTTATTTCACCTAGGAATGCAAGTTAAGAACCATCAACAGATTTTCACATAAGCTTCATTATTACTGGCAAACAATAATCGACAAACAATTCCACACAACAGTTATATACTTTATATTGCCAATTACTGATAAAGGGCATCACAACTTTCAATCTCCTCGATAAGAAGTTCCGGAAGTTAAAATAATTTTCTGATAAAACATATCAATGCCTTTGTTTGCTGTATATGTTTGCTTCTCTGCTGATATTATACAGGAAGTAAATGTTGATGGTTCTTAACATATTTGTCTAATAAATGAATCACTTTAACTGTGAATATACTTTATCTCTGATATCAAATACACATCATCAACACATATTTTGTGTTAAATATAATAGATTTAAATATTTATCAAATCATTCATCATTCCACACCTTCACAAAACACGGATGTAATTACATTGGTTTCTGTACAAAGATGTGATAAATTAACAGCACCTTAATAACAAACATTGGATAAGAACGATTTTGAAGGAAAAGGACAGCAAGTCTAAAATCTTTGTCATTTTTTAAATTCTCCTTTTTTAAAGTGTCAATCATTAGTCACATTACAAAATTGTTGTCCAATTTCCAGTGAATATTTTTTGATTCAAAATCACAAAATAACAACAGATGGTATGACATATCAGAATAAATCGGCATATTTCGATCAGAAATTTTGAAGAAATTGAAAAGTGACAGAGAATTAAATAAAGTCCGTCTGAAAAGCATCTCAGAAAATTTTAGTGTGAAAAATATATCACCATTTCTTTGTTGTCTGTTAATTGTAAACTTAGTACTGTTATTTTCTACGAATGTTACAGAATTTTGAAAATGTGACAACTGGAGGAAATGATAAGATTGAAGACCTACTAATCTACTGACAACAATATTATTTCAAGCAGTTTATTCTCTCAATGTAGCATAAACATGCAGAAAATAAACATCAAAGATGAAAACTTTAATAATAAAACTTCAAATGATTTTCAGCAAATGTACAGTAGAACTTGCTTTCCCATACTCAACGGTTAAATTTCATTTGAATAAATTTCCCAGATATATGAAGCCATTTAGTGACACCTATGTGATTTATCATCAGTTACTTAGCAAATGTGAATCGTTGTATTTTATCTTAATATGGACAGCCTATGAACTGCTCACAGAAGTCCTACTGTACATTAAGTTAGTATGCCAATAGAGATATCATTCAGTGAACATTATCAAAATTAACATTCACAACATCAAACATTCAGATATGTATATAATTTATATATCAGCAAAAAATATGTTTTCCATTTGATATTTCACAAGATTTTGATTTCTTTATGGATATTTTGGGACTATAAGAAATTTCTGTAAAAAGAACCATATGTTACTTAAAGCCTAGGAACAGAAGTATTTGTCAGTTTTGTCATTGACTGCAGATTACTTTAGCTGGTGGTAACATCATTTTGTCGCCAGTTCGTAGAAAATTATTTAACAGAATTACAATCTTGCTGTCTGGTCTGTGATTGTTGATCTGATACCAGGGAATATGATTTAAGCTTCATTTGAATTTGGTTTCAGTTTTGTCAAATTTTTACATACTTTACAATCATGTAGGTCCAATCTTGTCACCTTAATTATGTGCTATAAAACGATTATAAAATGCTGTAGAATATGTTATTAAATTTATTATGGATGAACATGTTTTCCCTTTAAGATGCTTTAAAACGATTATAAAATGCTGTAGAATATGTTATTAAATTAATTATGGATGTACATGTTCTCCTTTTTAGAAAAACAAAATTTTGTGAAATAACAAGATAAGTGGAAAAACAGAATAAAATATTTGTACAAAGCTGTGCAGTTCTTAATTCATACTTACCATCAAATGAAGGTGTATTCACATACACGTGCTGTAAATTCTGGCATTACAACATGCACGTGCACTTCTAATAATAAAATAGACAAAATTGTCAATGGCAAAAAACTAAAATTGAGCAGTCAATGAAATCAAAAATAACAGAATCATGCACAGCAGTATCAAGCCAGATGTTTTTTTAAGCTGTGTTACCAATTCTCAATATGCGAAATATTGTGTTACTTTATATCTATTTATGTCATAATATCTGTGATCATTTACTCAATAATATAGGGTATGTTTGTGAGATATTGGAAGACTTTGTATCTTGAGTAACTCATAAATGATATTATTTTTTTTGTTTTTGTTTTAATTTGAAAATGTCTTATTCAAATTGGTTGGAGCAGAAAATGCTAAAAATGCCTACTTGGTACATTAAACATGAAGCACAACACAACAATTTACCTAATGTAGAAAGGCTGTGTATGAATTCATTGCATATTAACTAATTTTGAATAAGATTTTATAAAACAAGATAATTTATTCAGAATTTTTAAATAAAACACTTTGGCTTGATACAATGATGTTGTCCATTTTACACACGGATTAAATGGACAGTCATTGCTGTGAGCAATAGAACCAGAAGAAACATAAGCTGATAAAAATCACAAACCAAACTATTCTGGTTGTTGCCGTTAACAACAACAGCCAGGATGTGTAAAAGTTGTCAAAGCAATACTGCATTCACAGTAATATTGAAATACACAACACAAACAGATATACTACAAAATGTTTTTTTGATGTAAAAATATCAAAGAATTTCAAATATCTAAAATCAAGTCTTGCTTTTCGGGCTTGCTGATCAGTTTAACAAAATTCCTCAAGACTGGAAAGAGGTTACCCTCACCAAACCAATGTGAGATTTTTAAGTGACTGATGTCTCCTGATTGCAACACAAACAAAAATGTCTGCTGTCACTTTAATCAATAAAAATATCTCTATAAGTCCCAAGTAAGAATCCTTCTAGCAGTTTTACGGTCTTAATTGATGAATGAATCTCCTGTTTCAATCCGATATCTGTCTCTGTCTTTGATTTTCATTGTCAGAAAATGTCTAATTCTTGTCCAAATTTCATTCATTTTAAAGATGCCATTGGATAAAATGTCATTTGGTTATTCTTGTCATATGCACAGCTTCTCAATTTAAATTTCTAAATCAAGTACTGTCCGCTGTACCTGTAATTTAATCCATAATCCCCGTCCAACCCTTTTGTGATAAAGGATTAACCCTGGGCTTTCTTGTCTTATTGAGTGCCCAGAGGATAAAAATCCAGCAAGTTCATACAACACGTGACTATTTTACATGCAACTTGACGTTACTTCTTACAATTCACTACGTTAAACCCACTCACTGGGTATTCCTCTGGAATGTTGCATCATTCTCTATTTTGTGTTGCATTATATGTAGTTCATTCGATGTATTTTACTTATCTAAATTTAAAGTAATAAATCAAACATTTTACCCAACCTATATATTCCATGCAAAGCAGATCAATGCTGACTTGCTAAAGTATCTCTCCAAAGGTTTCTGATGTATTATGCCAACCAACCCCTCCCCCCCCCCCCCCACTCCCCGACTCAGCTCCCCTACAGTATGTCCGTATATTCCCATGTAACAGCAATTTCAAAGTATTAAGAAATAAAACACAGCAGTTTTTGTGTTATAAGAGACATTTTATTGAAACAGAACGAACATTGATGAACAAACAGTAAGTGTAAACACGTGTGAAGCTGATAGTTAGTAGTCAATCTTAATGAACACAAGGGTTGCGTCCCGTTTTGATATTGTTAACTGGAGTTGTGTCCCCTTTAATATGCGACAACTTTGATTTCAGAACCAAGCTATATATATAACTGGAGACGCTTCTTTTCTATCTTGGAATATCATCATTATGTAATGTGTGTTGGTTTTCTTATGATGTTTTAAGATGTTAAATATGAACATGTGGTTTGTTACTAAAATCAATTTCAAATTCTGTTCATTATCTCACAGATTCAAAGACGTACTTCTATC